TGCAAAGACTCAGCCTTTACGCCACTCTCTGGCTCCCTCCCTCTCAACATTTCCCTGTTGTGCTGTGAAGAGGAGGTGGGTGGGGGACTTCAGAAGCTGGAGTGACAGGTTGTTCTGTAAGATGAGTTGGTGAGAGGCGATGGCTGAGGGACGGCCGCCGCCATCTCCCACCTTGTGCCACAGAACCAGTGAGGGTCCCGGTCCAGGAGCCTGGGGCACGGACACCAGGGGCGCGCCCCCTCGCCCCCCAGGGCCCTCAGGGAGAGGCAGGCCCGAGTCAGCCAGCTGGGACTGAGGGAGAAGTCAAAAGGTTATGAGACAGGATTCCTGAGCGGCTCAGCCCCACGTGTCGTATGTCCAGGCCAGCTGTGCCTGCTAACGAACTTCAGGATGGTGCCCGGTCTCACCAGCCTGATTGCATAAAGGACAAAAACTCTGTGCATTTGGCTCATCTCGCTTTCCCCCATTGTTTGCGTAAGCGTGTCCTAATGGTGGCGTCAAGGCAGAGGCATTTGTGTGAGTGGTAGGGTGCCTACCGTGTTGCGAGTCCTGCCTGCCTTTCAGAAACGGGCCGCAGAGCTTTGGGCGTTTTACGTCATTTATCCACCAGCCCCTGGCGGGAGAGGCATATGTGTTTCATGCTGGCCTGTCTTTTTTTTTCTCCCAAACTATCACTTTCCTTTTTTTTTTCCTTCACTTGGGTCATTTTTTTCTATGCAGCCCCCTCGCCTCATTGGAGAGCTTGGCCTTTCCTGGGCAGACAGCAGGGCACCAGTGGAGGGGCCCGGGGGAGAGGGGCCTGCTGACCCAGCCTCCCTTGGGGGGAACTCTCCTGGCCCCAGGGAACATCCTGCGTTGGAGACAGGCCCAGGGTGGGGATGGGTGGAGAAGAGAGCCCAAAATCAGTGAGTGTGGCCAGCAGGTGAGAAGACGGAGCTGCAGGGGGATGGTGGTCATGGGCGCAGAAGCGGTGGTTTGCCCTGGAGAAGCAGAGGGCCCACGGGAGGGCTGTGGCCCCAGCACGCAGGCAGAGACGCTGCTGAGACTTAGTTACACAGAGCCGGAGCCTGTCTGCCTGGAGAAATGGCATCTCTGAGTTCCTGTCTTGCTCGCGGTCCCAGAGAAGGGGACCTGTGTGCCCTGCTTGCGGTCCGGAGTGGATCCCGTGAGCCAGGCGAGCAGGCACTGCAGGGCCAGCAACAAGGACAGAGCGGGGGAGCGGGGAGCCAAGGCCTTGGCCTGGCGCAGAGGCCCACCCCACGCCCTGACAGCCCACCCCAGTGGGCAGGAGGCTGGAACTGCTACGCCTTCTCGGTACCAAGAAGTTCAACATCCCTCTTCCCTCCCTGTGTCGATTTTGAACACAGAGCTGGAGCTCTTATTGCAAAGACTCAGCCTTTACGCCACTCTCTGGCTCCCTCCCTCTCAACATTTCCCTGTTGTGCTGTGAAGAGGAGGTGGGTGGGGGACTTCAGAAGCTGGAGTGACAGGTTGTTCTGTAAGATGAGTTGGTGAGAGGCGATGGCTGAGGGACGGCCGCCGCCATCTCCCACCTTGTGCCACAGAACCAGTGAGGGTCCCGGTCCAGGAGCCTGGGGCACGGACACCAGGGGCGCGCCCCCTCGCCCCCCAGGGCCCTCAGGGAGAGGCAGGCCCGAGTCAGCCAGCTGGGACTGAGGGAGAAGTCAAAAGGTTATGAGACAGGATTCCTGAGCGGCTCAGCCCCACGTGTCGTATGTCCAGGCCAGCTGTGCCTGCTAACGAACTTCAGGATGGTGCCCGGTCTCACCAGCCTGATTGCATAAAGGACAAAAACTCTGTGCATTTGGCTCATCTCGCTTTCCCCCATTGTTTGTGTAAGCGTGTCCTAATGGTGGCGTCAAGGCAGAGGCATTTGTGTGAGTGGTAGGGTGCCTACCGTGTTGCGAGTTCTGCCTGCCTTTCAGAAACGGGCCGCAGAGCTTTGGGCGTTTTACGTCATTTATCCACCAGCCCCTGGCGGGAGAGGCATATGTGTTTCATGCTGGCCTGTCTTTTTTTTTCTCCCAAACTATCACTTTCCTTTTTTTTTTCCTTCACTTGGGTCATTTTTTTCTATGCAGCCCCCTCGCCTCATTCCCCAACCTCAAAGCTAGCAACCTCACAGCTAACAGGTATGTTATCTAAAACCTATTGTTCTCGCTGTATCGGCGGGCTGATCTTTTTGTCACACAAGGTGGAAAGGCTAAATCAAAGAGGGCTTGTCTACTCAGATAGGTGGGAGCCTCTGTGGCCCCCACTGAAATGAACAGCGCAGGGACACTTAGGAGCAGTTACAACAATGGATGTGGACTCGGGAAGAAAGCTACCGCCAGAGTCTCTTAGGGAAGAGACCCAGAGCGACCCCGAGTGGGTGCTGGTTTGGCTGCATCTTTTCTCCTCCTGAGGCAGGCAGCTTCTTGAATCAGCAGTGAAGGAGAAGAAAGTAGATCCCACAGCTGCTTTCTTTGTGAGGGTTTGGGTTTTCTGCCTGTTTAAACGTGGAGGCAGGCGGAGGAGAGGGGAGCGAAGCCCCGTGCGTCTGTTGCGGTGCAACGCTGCTCCATCCGTGACTTGGGCCCAGACCCACCCTCCTTCTCCCACCCGTCAGCAGTCTCTGCCCCTCTCTCCTCTTTCGAGTTGGCCTCAGTAGAAACCGGAATGGGGGAGGCTGGCAAGAATCCTGCCTTGGGCACAAGAGCACGTGTTACCCTGACTGGCTCTAAGGTGAGGGAGACGGCCGAGGAATCGGTGAGCCCTGCTCCTGTTGACCTGCCGTTGTCAGGATGGGCTCTTGTTTGCATCGAAGCTGTGAGGGGTGATTGATTCGTGAAACGGAGCCGGCCTGTTAAGGAGAAGCTCCCCTCCTACTGCCCCTCCCTGGGGAGCCCTGTGTCCCCACAAATGCACTTCTGCCCAGCTCCAAAAACTGGACTGTGACTTGAGGCCTGTCGGGCAGGACAGGCAAAGAATGAAGTTTGGGCTAAAACCCAAGCTGGGACTTCCCATGGCACAGTGGTTAACAGTCTGCCTGCCAACGCAGGGGACCCAGTTTCGATACCTGGGCCAGGGGGTTTCCACATGCCAGGAGCAATTAAGGCTGTTTGTCACAGCTACTGAAGCACCCGTGCCCAGAGCTCTGCAACATGAGAAGCCGCCCCAGCAAGAAGGCCACGCAGCACAAACGGAACGCCCGTGACACAGCCGAGCACATCTTACTCAGACGAGAGCAGGGCTTTAGACTTGGGAGAAGTAGTCGGCATGGGATACAACCAGCCACAGTTAAGACAGCGGAGTGTAGTCATAGAGGAAAGCTCTCTAGAGAATTGTATTTTATAGGTAACATTGAAAACTATAATAAAAAATTCCCAGACCATGCTTGCTTTCTCAATGATGATTCATTTTTGCTGATATAATGCTTTTTAAAATATCTGCATGTCTAAACATGACATCTAGATCCAAGGGTCAGAACAGTCTAATCAGACCGTCCCTCCGTCTTGAGGCTTGGTACGTTTCCACCAGTTTTTGTGGGCTCTGCGGAGGATGGGCTGGACCCGGGGCGTGGTGAGTAGTGTGGAGCAGTTGGATGGGAAGAGTGAGCTATGCTGCTGTCAGAGACAGGAGGTGAGACTGCCCGTAGATGACAGTGAAGGGTGCTGACAGGTAGAGTGGGCACAGCTTTGAGTCTGGAAAGAAGTCTACCTGGGTTCACTCAGTCAAAGCTTTAATGCTTGTCAAAAGAGGTGGATTTAAGTAATCTGAGGGCGGCAGGGAATCATGGGAGCACTTTCAAGAGTGAAACAACACAGTCAAAGCAGCGTGCTGGGAGGCAGTTGTGGTTTTGTGCTTATTTAGACTGAAATAGAAAAGGGTGCTCACATGAGTGGCCTTGAGTAAGATCGAGGTCATCAGCACGCAGAAGTGGAGTGTCATTTGTGTAAATCATCCTGGTTAACATTCCTAGCATGTTCATGGCCAGTTAAGATGGACTGTGAATATTGTTTTGCAAATATTCTTGCAAATGTTCTCCACCACCTTATTGGAGAAAGATGGTTGGGGAAGCTCAACCTGAAATTTTGGGGGGAGTTAGTGGGGTTTGCTTGAGTCAACACTGAGGTCCCATCTTTCGTACCAAGAGAAGAGTTGGTGGGGATCGTAGGGGGATCACAGTGGAGACTTCAGATAGAAAACGTCGCACTGCCAGATTTAGAGAGGCGGGTGGAGTCCTCTAGATGGTGGTCACAGGGGATGGACATGCAGTGTGCCGTGGGGGCAGGATGGGCCATCTGACCCTCCTGGTGGCTTGGTTTATAGTATTTATTATTGGGGGCTCCCCCGGTGGCTCAGACGGTAAAGAATCTGCCTGCAATGCAGGAGACCTGGGTTTGATCTCCGGGTTGGGAAGATTCCCTGGAAAAGGGAATGGCTGCCCACTCCAGTAATGTTGCCTGGAGAACTCCATGGACAGAGGAGCCTGGTAGGCTACAGTCCATGGGGTCACAAAAAGTCAGACGGAACTGATTAACCAACACACGCACACACGCACACGCACACACACACACACCTGTGCTATACAGTGGGTCCTTACTAGCTGTTTTACATACAGTAGTGTGTATGTCAGTCCTAACCTCCCAACGCATCCCTCCTCCCCGCCTCCCCCAATAACCAGAAGTTTGTTTCCTACATCTGTGACTCTATTTCTGTTTTGTAAATAAGCTCATTGGTACCATTTTAGGATGGAGCTTTGCTGATGGTCACGGCCCCGGGCTCTCATGTAGTAATCCCAGCTGACACGGGTGAAGTGGTTGTGCTAGCCTTGCCCCCCACCTCCCCAGGGCGGGCTCTGTTCCCCTCGAATGTATCAGCAAGGAAAGACGGCGGCATGTCACCTCTGTGGGTTAACACCGCAATGTCCTTCTCTGTGCAGAGAGGCTCAGGGCCCACACGGAGGCCACTCACTCTTTCTTTTTCTTCCTTTCCAGTTACTTTAGAGCAGTTCTGCCTGGCTGTAAGGAACTGTCCTGACCGAGAGGACCAGGCTTTGTTAAAGAAGGTATGTTCCCAAAAGGAAGCCCTGATGCCTGAGAGCCTTGCAGCACTTTTATTGCCGTAAGAAGAGATTCACAGTTACAGGCAGGAGTAAATTTATCATCTCTGAATTTTGCGCTCCTCGGGGATACACTTGTCATCAGCGGGTAGGAGGATTGCTGGCTAATGAGCACTACTGCTGTCCTCAGAGGGCAGCAAAGTGACGGGAAAGTGGGTGTCAGCCACGAGTGGGGGTCTATGCAATTCTCCAGAGGGCTCAGGGGGTTCTACTTAAGCTTATCTGACAGAGCCTTGATTCTCTGAGCAGATTTATGAGGCTTGGCCAAATTCCATGACTCTCACTGTACTTTTTAATTAAGACAAAGGATTCCATATGTCCCGAGTCTGCCACATCCTCACTTTCATCACTGTGGAGAACGCTTCACAAATGAGACCGTTCATATGAACCACGGGAAGGGGCATCTGATGTCATCGCTTCCTCCCCCTTGAGTGGGAGATAGACTTTTTTTTCTTGGTGGCCATTGTTTTGTTTCCTTCCAAATGGACAAAGGAGAACAGGTGTGGTCTCGTCTACATTTCGGTTGTACATTGGGGTTGAGCCAAACGTGTGAGAAAGCCTGGCCAACACCCTGCCTGCATTTAATTAACACTTGGCCATTGAAGGCAGAAAGCAGTAGACACCTTTAGATGACTAAGGAACACAGACTCTTTCCCACCCATGGCTAAGGCTCTTCTCACCTGGAACTCTCCTTAGGCTGACCAGGAGGCATCTGCATTTCCGTGATGTCATTTCAGTTCTGTGTCGTCAGGAAACCACGTGTACTAGGGATTGCATTTCTTCACCTAAATACCATGCCAGGTGTTCTCTGACTTTAGAAATGGGTGGAAAATCGAGGGCGTCACTAAAAGGGATGTTCAACTCATTTGCCTAAGATGTGATATTTTTGGTCTGTCTTTTTTTTAAAGCTTTCAGTAATGTTGCTTTTATAAACAGAAGTTCTGATACCAAACTTTGGGTTTGCCCAGGAGAACTGACCCACCAGAGCTCTGCTCCTAATACGCTGGCTTTGGCCAGCACGCACGGAGGCACAGGAGCTTTGCTTGGCATTTGGAGGTTGTCCACTCTGCGTTCTTGGTTCTCCCCACCAAGGCCCGTTCCCCCAGGATCACCCTCCCTGCCAGGTACAGGCAATAGTGCTGTGGCCATAGAGTAGCTCTTGGGTCCCAGACACTCACCTCTTTTTTTTTTTTTTAATTTAAATGTTTTTTTATTTTATTTTACTTTTTTAAAATTAATGGAGTGTAATTGCTTTACAATGTCGTGTTAGCTTCTGGTGTGCAACAAAGTGAATCAGCTTTATGTACACATATATCCCCCTCCCTCTTTGACCCTCCTGCCACCGCACGCCTCAAGATCGTCGCAGAGCACTGAGCTGAGCTCCCTGGGTCATGCAGTGGGCTCCCACTAACTCTCTATTTTATGCACGGTGGGCTATAGATGTCAATTCCACTTCCTCAATTTGTCCCAGTCTCCCTGCCCCCACCGTGTCCACACGTCCATTCTCTGCATCCACATCTCTGTTCCTGCCCTGAAAATGAGCATCTGTACCTCTTTTCTAGATTCCATGCTGTGTGTGCTATGCTCAGTCACTTCCATTGTGTCCAACTCTTTGTGACCCTGCAGATTGTAGCCTACCAGTCTCCTCTGTCAGTGGGATTCTCCAGGCAAGAATACTGGAGTGGGTTGCCATGCCCTCCTCCAAGGGATCTTCTTAACCCAGGGATCAAACCTATGTCTCCTCTGTCTCCTGCATTGCAGGTGGATTCTTTACCCACTGGGCCACCTGAAAAGCCCTTCTAGATTCCATAAATATGCATTAATGTATTAATATGATATTTGTCTTTCTCTTTTTGGCTTAACATTACTCTGTATGACAGACTCTAGGTTCATCCACATCTGTACACAGGACCCAGTTTTGTTCCTTTTCATGTCTGTGTGATATTCTGCTATACATATGTACCACATCTTCTTTACCCCTTCATCTGCAGATGGACACCTAGGTTGCTTCCAGTCACCTGTCAGGTGACCGGGGTGTAGCACCTTTGGTTCTCTCTTCTTGTTTGGTCCAGCATTTTCTCCCACCATCTCCTCCTTCCTGTTTCTTTCTTAGGCTCCTCCTCATGTCCATCTCACCCTGTGTTCCCCTCTCTTTACCTCTGTGGGCTGGACCTACTGTGTGCCGCTTGGTCCTGCTGCTGAGCCCTGCGTAGAGGTTACCTGGGCATCTCAGAGGCAGCATGGGATGGAGGGGTCAGAGCATGGAGCCCAGTGCCAGGAGACCAGACCAGGCTTGCATTTCACCGTCCCCGAGGCCTCCATGACTGGGAATCTGTGGCCACTCTCTTCATATCCATAGGGAGAATACAGAGAGAGATGCCACTCAAAGCCTCTTCCTTCTCTCAGTTTTTCTTTTTCTTAAAAGACTTATTTTTTCATCTGGACCATTGTTTAAGTCTTTATTGAATTTGTTACAATATTGCTTCTGTTTTACAGTTTTGGTTTTCTGACCACAATGCCTGTGGGATCTTAGTTCCTTGACCAGGGATCGAACCCACACACCCTGTTTTGGAAGGTGAAGTCTTAACCACTGAACTGCCAGGAAAGTCCCTTCCTTTTACTTTCTCACCTCCCCCTGCCATGCACATGCCGCTCCAGGCTGTCTCTTTGGGAACATTTGGCTGCTAACTAACAATTGCATACTCTGTAATGACCTATATAGGAAAAGAATCTAAAATAGAGTGAGTATGTGCATATGTATCAAAGTTACTGATTCATTTTGTTGTACACCTGAAACTAACACAACATTATAATTCAACTATACTCCAATAAAAATTAATTTAAAAAAAACTAGCAGTTGGATGTGGAAGAGGGTCCAGATAGCCCAAGGTGTCCTGGAGTAATCTCCAGTGACATTCAATATTTCATGTCTTTCCCATTGGTCTCTGCAGACTGTGTGGCCATTGCAACCGAGGATGATGTCTGTGGCTGTTTTCTCAATATCGGTAGTTATTTGAACTGGCATCATCAAAGAAGTTTCACTGAACAAAAACGAGTGCTCAGTTCATATATACTGAAACTGTTTTATGATTTTTTTCAGGAGATTGAGGTTTTTAATGTCACGTATCAGAGAGCATCATGTGGGTGTGACAGTGGTGTGCAGGATTTTTGTAGATGGTTCTGTGGGAGACCGTGCTCAGGGTGACAGCAGATCGCTCTGACTACAACCAGCCTGTGGTCCAGTTTATGTTTACTTGGGCGAGCTGTTCACTTCCTCTCTCTCTGCAACCAGCTAAAATATTTAACTCCACCTCATCGGGTGAAAGTTGTTGCAGGCAAAGAATGCAGATGGAGACTGACTCTGACGTTTTTTAAAAGTGATATTTTGCACGCATGCTGTGACATCCTTACACCATCCTGGATACTTGACACTTGTGTGTGCGTGCTCAGTCGCTTCACTTTTGTCTGACTCTTTGTGACCCCATGGACTGTAGCCTGCCTGGCTCCTCTGTCCATGGGATTCTCTAGACATGAATACTGGAGTTGGTTGCCATTTCCTACTCCAGGGGATCTTCCCGACCCACCCAGGGATTAAATTCACATCTTTTGCATCTCCTCCATTGGCAGGCTGATTCTTTACCACTGCACCTCCTAGGATGCCCCCACTTGAGACCCAAGGGTAGATATTTCATGATCTATGAGGGTGCTCTAGAAACAGACTGCAGGGAAGATGAAAAGATGAACACAGAGTGGTTGAGCCTATGTCCAATACCCCTGGGAAAACAGAGCCAGAGAGGGAGGCTTTGGAGATGGCAGAAACCAGAGCCTTCGTGTGGCAGCCAAGAAGAGCAGGACCAGGGGAAGCCGTGGCTCTCTGCTAGTTGTTGGGCAGTGGATTTGGGGGCACAAAGCCAGGCTTTGGACCCTCAGTCTGGGCTTCTTCCTGGGACCTCTGCTCACATGAGCAGATTCACAGAAAGCCTGCCACCTTGGCCACAGCAGAGCCACACAGGAGGTAAGACCGATGACACCACGGGTGCTGTGCTGAGGCTGCTGCGTGGGACCCCTCTCTCGGCTTGCTGTCAGTCACGCCCTGTTTTCTGAGAATACTGTGAGGCAGGAGGAAGCTGGCTCCATGACTCAGTTTCCCCAGATACTAAGCTGTGTGCATGCTCAGTTGTGTCTGACTCTTTGAGACCCCATGGACTATAGCCCCCCAGGCTCCTCTGTCCATGGGATTTCCCAGGCAAGAATACTGGAGTGGGCTGCCATTTCCTTCTCCAGATGCCAAATAGAGGCCCAGGCTATTGATGACTTAGGTTTTTCCCACCACTGTGGCCCTACTAAGGGGCTGGGGAAGAGATGCCAAGAGTAGGACAGCTGTCGTTAGGGTTTGCCTCGCAGGCAGATTTCACTACAATTTGAACCACAGAAAAGATTTAGATTCCATAAATGACTTATGACCCCATTCACTTGCAATCCCCGTATTGACCTGTTTGTTCACTCATTCTTTTTTTATTGTTTTCATCTTGGCTTCACTGGATCTCCATTGTGTCATGCTGGTCTCTCTTGTTGTGGAGCTTAGTTGCCCCTGGCGTGTGGGATCTTAGTTCCCCGACCAGGGATTGAACCCACGTCCCCTGCAATAGAAGCTCAGAGACAGCCACTAGACCACCAGGGAAGTCCCTCTTCTTTCATTCTTAGTTCTTTTTGCCGATTAGACTCTTCAGTCCTTGCTGTCACCACCCTGGAGAGCTCACCAGGGTGAGCTACACCTCACCTCTGCTCCACTCCCCACTTCCCTGCAGCTCCAGATCACACGTGAACTGCAGCCCCACGTCTAAGCTCACGCAGCAGCTGTGAACCTCCTCCCATCTCTGGTCTCTATCCTCCCTTCTCAGCCTTGGGCTGTGGACAATTCACAGCTCTTTCTGGGGGTTGCCAAG